TGAAATTCGTCGGAATTTCAGGTATCCAATGAAAGATTCGTTCTTCTCGTGCCGAAATGCCCCCGGATACCAAGTTTCATGCAAATCCAACGCTAAGCAGCCTAAATATCCACTTCTCGCTCTAGGCCGCCATTTTGACCGCCGAAATTTTGAAAAGGACTGACTTTTCTGGAAAACCGATGCCAGAATCGTTTTTCTCGTCCCAAAAAACCCCAAGATTCTGAGTTTCAGACCAATCCGCCGATAAAAAACGGAGATGCCAAATTTCCGCCATTTTGAACTTTGACTGGCCGCCATTTTGTCAAAAATCAACATTTTGACCTGCGGTTTGCGCCAAATTTTTTTTTTTTATTATCTTTCGAATGAGGTATCACAGAGGGGGGGTTGCCATTTGAAAAAAAAAAAGTTATCCCCCGCCCCCCTTAGGGGGGGGCGCCCCCCAAAATTTTGGGGGGACCAAAAAGTTGCTACTTTAGACCCAGGAACATTCCCAAAGTTTCAAACTTCTATCTCAATTTGGAAAAAAGTTACAGGGGTGGTCAGTGACTTTTGGATAACCCTGTATAAAAAACACACATTATATTATTATTCTCCTTTGATAAATTGATACATATTTTTCCCCATCAATTTAAATGAGAATAATCAATGCAGAGTGTGCAAAAATTTCAAAATCAGGAGTTAAAAAACGCTGACTATGCGAGTATAAATATATTAAAGCCTAACAGAGCGGAGCGGCGTGCTGCCAGCGCGAGAGGCTCACCGGCGCCTACAAACCTAAGTGGATACTTCACGCATTGCCAATGCTTGAAGTATCCACTTAGGTTTGTAGGCGCCAATGCGCGTTCCGCGCTGGCCACCCGCCCACCGTGCGGCGGCGCCTGAAGCAACTATTTCACAACAAAGGTGTTGCGCAATATTAAACGAAATTGAACGTATTAAGAATGACAGGCATCCTTTAAAAGTACAGATCTTTTCTCGCAAAATAAATCAAGGTATTTATCGTACACAGGAAAAATCTAAGAGCTTTTAGCTGAGGCAAATATAGAGGTTTCTCCGGTTCAGAAATAAATATACAGGGTGATCCAAAAGTCCCTTCCACCCCCTCTAACTTTTTACCTAATTGAGGTAAAGATTTGAAACTCGGGGGATATTCCTAGGTCAAAGGGAGCTACTTTTTGGCCCCCCTAAAATTTTCAGGGGGGCCCCCCTTGGAGGGGCAACGGCCCCCAACTTTTAATTTTCAAATAGGAAGACCCCCTTTTTGATAGCTCGTTTGAAAGAGCATAAAAAAAGAAAACTTTTCGCGCAAACCCGAAGTCAATATCTCAAACCGTTTCAAAATGGCGGCCGGTTAAAGTTCAAAATGGCCGAAAATTCACACCGGTTATTTGTCGATGGATTTGCGCGAAAATCGGTTTGTAGGGGTATTTTGACACGAGAAAAACGAATTTGACGTTAGATTTTCAAAAAAACCATAATTTCCAAAATGGCCGCCGGCTAAAGTTCAAAATGACCAAAAATTGATTTTTTTAGAAATCCAAGTTAAAATTTGTTTATCTTATGCCAAAATACTCTCAAATTCCAAGTTTTAGGTAAATCCATCAGTAAAAAACCGAGGTGACAATTTTCGGCCATTTTAAACTTTGGAGGCCAAAAAGTAGCTCCTTTTGACCTAGGAATATCCCCCAAGTTTCAAATCTTTACCTCAATTAGGTAAAAAGTTAGAGGGGGTGGAAGGGACTTTTGGATCACCCTGTATTAAAGCCTAACAGAGCGGAGCGGCGTGCTGCCAGCGCACAAGGTGTGAATTTCTTGAAATATAATTAAGTCCTATCGCACCAAAGAGGTGTAGAGAGTTTTAGTGAATTTTGTCTCATGGAATTGACGCTCACGCTCCCCAATTTTTACCAAAACTCTCAACTATTTATTATTCTCCGTTGGACCAAACAGATAAAACAAAAAAACAAGCAAACCCTCATTTTTCCGAGACATTATACATTTTCATCCAAAAACGTCGTGAGCAATTGTCGTTTGTATTCACATGTGGGCCAATTAACTTTGGGTCTCAACTGGCACGCGGACCAAAACTCCCGTGCCGGAAAAACGCGTGGACGTAAATTACTGGAAAAAACAGGTGCGCGGACAAAAAATCGTTGACGAAATGTCCTATAACCCAGGAACAGTATTAATTTGTTTTTCCCTCTTTTATTCACACTAAATTTTCTCTCGTTTTAATTAGATAGTTTTATAAATCAAATATCCTCATTAGAATTAGAATAATATTTTTTATATTAATATTCTGTTTGGCAGGCTACACTTGCAATGGTAGTAGTAAGTAAACTACATGTAGTTTTCAATTTTAACTTTAACCAAGCGATAACGTTTTTCAACACCTTGAGCAGCGAATTGAAAGTGATGTACAGGGAAAGTTCCGTCAACATACTCCTCAACCAGTTGAAAATAAAACTAAAAAATAAGGCCTGATATAGTCTAAAAGAATTTTTCGAAGAACCTGAATTCATTTTGTTTAAATTCTTGTAATTGTTGTATAAATTGTAAATTTGGCTTAAGCCAGAGTTTTTTTTTATAATGGACTGTTTGCATCAATAAATTCTAATTATATCTATAGCTCTATCAACCTATTAACTACCTACCTCTCTATCTATCTAACGTTCTTTCTTTTTTCCTCGGTTCATGGAAATGAAATAGAGACCCCATGAAACATTCCGAAATTCTGTCATCTTTTCTGCACCCTTTATCTTAGATTAACGTAATTTCGAGTCAATTCAGGTGTTCTTTCTTTAATTCTAATATAGACCTACCGTGTCTGTGAGGCATGGGCCTTCATCTTCAACTTGTTCGATGAGTGGCGCGCAATCTTTCCACTTCTCTCTCACGTCGAATTCGGCGGGAACTTTTGATGGGTCAGTTTCCCATTTTGGGTCACCGATTTTCCTGACAATGTGAGTGGCTCCGGGAGGTAAACTTCTCCTCACTCTGTCTCGCAAGATCTTCTCCGTCAATTCACGGCTGAGACCTCTCAGTGAATGCTCGCGTAGAGATTTCTCGATGAAAGTTTCAACATTCTCTACCTCAAACTAGAGTGGAAATTGAAAAAGAATTTAAGCGAAGACAGTATAAAAAATGGATACAACTTAAACTACATTGAAAAAAAAGATTGGTAGAATTTACCATTCCTTCACGCTGTATTTCACACAGCGTCAATTCAGAGTCAATTCTGCCAGAAGAAAGGTAATCGTTACTATATACTGGTACAGGTAACCATTCCTCTGGCAGAATCAACTAAAAGATTGGTAGAATTTACCATTCCTTCACGCTGTGTGAAATACAGCATGAAGAAATGGTAATTCTACCAATATTTTTTTTCAGTGTAAAAATTAAATGAAAAAAATTAAAAAATTATCAAGTTGGTTTTTGCAATCGCTAGCGATAGCAATATTCGTCATGGGAACTTTTGCTT